GATTTTCAGTCTAACTGTCCAGGTATGCATTCAGCCAGGATCCCTCACCCCATATGTTCCTTATGCCCTTGTTACTACTTTGGAGAAGTTTTGCAGCACATGTACATAACCCTGATGGAATAGAGGTGCTGGACTCACTGAATCTGGACTTTGAGTGAGATTGTTTCCTTCATTGTTCAGTTGCAGGTACCCCCCATGTAAAATGCCATCAGTGGTCCACAGGTCATCTTCTTTTATGTGAGGAATTGCCTTATTTGGGAAAGATCATCCTCTTGAAAGAGAGGTTTGTTGGAAGCCTGTATGGTTCAAAGTTGCCTCTAGTTTATCCCTTTGGATGCATTTTTAAAATCATTTTGCCAGAGACTATCATTACAAAAGCCATAAACTAGCTCTGACAACCACGTGGAAGCAATGTGCAGAACTCGGATTTCTAGTGATGGAGACTTTGCAAACAAGCCAATCAACATTTCCTCCTGTGTCAGAGGGCTGCGAGTGCAGCAGCTCCTAGCGTGTGCAAGAAGTTGTACCTCTATATAATGATTTAAAAAAATATTCATGTATGTAGCAATACACATAGACATGGCCACAGCACAGACACTTTTAGCAAATTAAGACATGTTTTTTCATGTATTTTACGTGAGCCCTAGCCATGCACAAACACAGCCGTATGGCTGTAGCCTACATGTGTACGTAGCCTATAAATGCCTGAGGGCAGGGATGACAAAAAGCCTGTGGTGTGTGGCATGAATGCATTCAGCAAAGTCCTTGTGGTGAGGAGCTAGAAGCTTCCTGAGTCTCTGTCTGACACTTCTGCATTCTGTGTGCTAGTTGACTTTTTTTTTTTAATCTTCTCTTTCTTTCATTTTTGTTGTAGTGCTGCGCCTCAGCTTTTCACACAGTGCCTCTGGACATTGAATCAGAAGACGATGATATGTTCTCCTGATATGTTCTCCCACCCTGGAGAAGCTCTGCCACCCCATCCTCAGGAGCTTCCCCTCTGGGCTGTACTTTAAGCCACTCTGGGAAGATGAGAAAATTAAGATCTTTTATCAGCAATGCCCACAGTCCCATGACAGTATTTGTGAGCGATGACCTGAATTTATACTGTGTTTTTCACCTGCAGACCACTGGTCTACAAAATATGGGGGGGGGGAGTTTGTTTAGCAGAAACCTGAATAAAGACATGTTATAGGACTCCTCCCAGCAACTCCACTCTCCTGCATCATCCTGCCTCAAATGGAGCTTAAAATCTGCCAGAAGTGCCGGTAACCAGAAGAGAAATGAGGTGAGAAGTTTTACTGGAAGCCACCAAGGAGAATTGTTCTAGATCACTGACACAGAGCTATAGGTGCTAAGTGGCTCATGAGAAAGGGAGACTATGACAGCAAGGAAACCCATATGGTGAGGAAGGAAAAAAGACAGGCATCCCCTTTGGTGTATTACATCCCACCAAAAGACTGTAGGCAGTGATAAATGGCAACCTGACCCTGGTGTCATGACTTTAGTTGGCATTTGAGAGGTGGGATGTGTAGTTTTTTCCAATATAGATGTGGGTTTCTATTTTAGGTATGTTTCGTTATACAACCAATTTATTCCACTTTAAAAAAAAAAAACAGAAAGGGAAATGAACGAAAACTATTCCTTCTTTGCCATACAATAGCAGTATCTATTTCATATTTGTAAGCATTGATCTAGCTGCTCTATAAACACAGGGGACAATTTTTCCCCTTCCTTAAATATATAAATAAGTAAAATCCATTTCTTCTATGTGTTGACTCCAATGACCATGGAGAATGTAGCTCCTTGAGGCTGGAGAAGCTGTCTCCCAGCTGATGGGGGCTCCTGGGGCTTCTTGCAAGATCTTCACAGCTGTCTATGGAATGGGGAAACTGTAGGTTTCAGAGAAAATTATGTTCCCTGTCGTGTGAAGAAGTGAAGAGCTGAAGGAGAGAGGTTGGGTAAGTGCTGTCTCTACCCCTGCTTAGCACTGCCTAAACCATGGTTAGTGATGCTACAGGTAAAACTGACTGAAAAGTGAGGAAGGACTACCTGGGGTTTTATTTCTGCTATACACCAGGGCTTCTGCTATTTCTGTTCACTTTAAAGCAGGAACTACTTGAGGTTTGTAGCTTCTTTATGTGCAGTTTGGGATGTGTGGTGCAATTCCATCATGTTTGGCTGTGGAGTGGGAGGCCAGTCCCTCTGACTGAAAGATGGAGAGGAAACTTTCCTCTGGGGAGCCTGAGATTCTTACCAGAGTATTTTAGGAGTTAAACAACAAGCTATAAACCATTTCCTCTCTGTTCATCTCTGAATACTTGTATGGAAGACTTTTTCTCTGGTTATCCACAGCCCTGAAAGCAATAACTGCACTTGTGGGTTGCTAATTCCTATTTTTTTTCCTGGGAAATCAGCAGCAAAAAGAAGTAGGCCCACAAGGGGCAGGAGTTAAAGCAGTTAAGATCATGAACATATGTGTAGATAGATTTGTCTGCTGCAGTATTGGGGTCAAGAGAGAAGCTGCTGTGGTTAATGACCTACAAGTGATAAGGGGATTCTTTAGGGCTGGGAGTAGAAGTTGCTGAGCATGGCCCTGCTGGCCCAGTGCAATTAGCTACAGTTAAAAAAGAAACACGTTTTCTTGATCTCTGCAAACTGTGATATAATTGCCTCTGGATATTTTAACATGGAAGTGTCAGGTTTTACAGGCTTCATTATCAGCAGGGTTTTCCCCCATCTGTTTGCTGACATTGGTGAGAGCCACAGATGGTTTATACCTGGGAAAGTCAAGGTGTTAGGTACAAGAACTGGGTTTTTTCTCCACATAAAATGGAAAATGTAAAGCAAATTCTCTCTTTCTGAAAGGAAAAGAATGAGCTACCAGGGGTGGTGGTGCTCTCATTCATCTTATGCTCCTACTCTCCCTTTCCAACACTGGATTTCTCCCTGAGGGGACTGGCTGCAAGGCAGCTACAGATGTGAAGAATATGCCTTGGCTTGTGAAACAACTTTGTGGGACTAAGCTATTTTCCAGATGAGATAGTGATAAAAAGGTAAATATAGCAGAGAAGAGGAGAGATGTCCAACTGCTTTCTGGAATTACAGCTACTATGTATGACAATTTTTTTTCCCCCTGGGGGAAAATCCACACTTTTTAATGTTGGTATTCTAAATATTGGTCTCTTGATGAATTCAATAGACAGCACAAATCTCTGCCTTGCTGTGCAGGAAATTTCAAACCTATTTACCTTTAGATATATTTACCTAAACACTGTAATTTTGCAGTTGTTTTGTATAACCTGCTTGTGATTGTTTTGAGAGCTTGTTCTATTAGGGTAATGCTCTCTTTCAGAAAGCCATCCACCCTCTATTTCTCATTTTGCAGAGAAAGCTTTGTAGTTTGGAACTGAATTAAAGTAGCTCACAAACTGGATGGACTAAATTCCAAATTCTGGCTTCAACTGATGCCAGCAACTGTGAGACAAACAGGGAGTTTGAGAAGAAAAGGCACTATGGAGGTTCTGATCCATCAGTCCCTGACAGCACTAACAGTCTTCTGCTGTGCTAGTACAGGAATTCAGGGATCAGTTTTCAGGGCCAGGATATCTTTCCTGGAGAAAAAGAAAAAATACCAGGAGGCTCTAAAGTCAATGCAAAGGTCCATTACTCAGCAGCATTGTCAGGAGCCAGCCACAGATGGCTAAGGAAGATGTCTCAGAACAGAGAAAGAACACAGCCTCTCCTCTCCCCACAGAGCTTTTCACTTTCAGCTTTGGGAATATCTACCTGCTGCCCCATTTGATAAGTTTTGTATTGCACCCAAGGCATTCAAAGTCTTGCTATATTTTTGTTGCTTCATTTTCAGTGCAGGGACTTGAGGAATTCCCAGCAGAGGACCATTGCTAGGGAGAAACAGGAGCAGAAGAGGCTGACCTGGGGATGTTGAAAATACAGCATAACATCTCTCACTTCAGAAAAAGTTGCAGGCTTTTGAGTTGGGTGCTGTGTGGTCTTGGTGATGAGGTAGAAACATCAAATACTGCATAGAAGATGCTGCTGCTGCTCTGGCTGTCAAAAGTGTGGGATTGGATTTTAAATAACGTAGCCTTGATTTGCAGAGCAGTTACCTTATCCTTATAAGAGGAAGCAAGAAGGTTGATATACATGTGCTGCTGCTTCCTCTTCTTGCCACCCCTTCCAGCCCTTCCTTGCCCAAAGCACATGTCTTACAGAGAACAGACTTCTAAGGCAGGGTCTTTTGTACCTTTTGAAATGTGCTTTCACTTCAAAACAGAACCATATTTTGCTGAATTAAACACAGGAATGGCTCTGTGACATACTGGTTATCCTTAAAGAAGTTGTGGTGACAGTTGATGTACTGGTGGATACCAGACCTTTTTTCTCTTTCAGGCTGTTAGCAAATATTTAAATCATGTAGGACTTTGCATTTATTTGCCTGATTTTAAGTTGGTGCTCAAGGCTTGTGGCTGGTGTATGATGTGTAGCAGACAGCTAAGGTTGCAACTTGTTCATCATGTCACAAAGCACTTTGCTTCTCTCAGTTTAGCTCTGCCACAGCCTTTTCATGGCAGTGTACCACCAGAGGGTTTTTTTTACTCACCTCTTTCTGGGGGGGTGGTGTGAAGGCTTTCTCTGTCGGTGAGAAAAATCAGCTGCATGTTAAGGTCTCAGAAGCAACAACGAGAAGAAACTAATGAACCATACAGCTGAACTGGGGGACTGCATGGGATGGAGTCTCCTAAATTGAGATAATTCCCACTTTGCAGTTACATCTGGGCCTTTCGTGGGGACAGAGAGGGAGGGGAGCTCCAGGTACATCCCTGCAGTTCCCTGGTGTGCAGGAGCTGCCTCGGGATCAGCCATCAGGACTGGGATCCCCGCGGGAGCGGCTGCTCACCCTAGAAAGAGAATTGAAGACCAGAGCACGCTGGAGCTGCTGCTGCTCCTCTCCCAAGCTCCCGGGGTGAGGAGGGCTCCTCTTCTTGAGCCTAGTAACTGAGTGAATCTTCCCCAGCCTCAGCACTCCTTGGGATGAATCCGAGTGGGAGCGGTGCCATTCCCCGGCTGGAAGAGTGACACGCACATCATGCCAGCCACCGCCACTGAGGCTGGGTAAAAATTTTAATTTATTTTAATGCAGCTATTGAAGGGTTTTAATTCCATCAAAGGCAATAACACAAGGCGAGCCACAAGTATTCGCTTGCTACTTTTAAATGGGTTTGCTTCATCTCTGCTTGGTTGTTCCTTTTTGGATTTTGATAATTCCTTCTCACTCAGAGGCACGACTGTTCAAGGGTTGTGAATTTTAAAAATTGCAGATTAAATTCTGCGTTTCACACATGAATATTTAAACAGTCATATACTCTCTTTTTTTCTGTAAGGTCCCATTTTTAATCATTAATGCCTGTTCTTCTGAGCAAATAAACCCCATATATGAGATTTGTATGCATTTAAAAAAAAAACATTTCTCTGGGACAAGTTCCAATATGACAATATTCTGTTATGAATATTTATGAACCCATCAAAACTGGAAAATAGTGAATTTGCTAATAGAAATTATGGAAGGTTTATTGTTTTTTCTTTTACTTTCCTTTTGAAAGAGACTGAGAAATTCTTTGCAAATTGGGTCAAGTTCAGTACTTAAGTCTGGTCAAAATGTATATTTTTAACCTTTTTGGTTTAAAAAAAATTCAGCTTTTAAAGTTTTAAACCTTTTTGATTGAAAGCAACTTTTGCATGCATAATGTATCCAAATTGCAAAGTAAAAAAAAAAATCCCAAAACTTCTGACAGCACTGACTAAAATGAAACAAAACAATATGTTTCCTTTATGGCAAAGATTTTATGTGAATGAAAATGAAATCTGAGATGTTTTTAACTTAAGAGTTACATTCCTTATTGCACATTAGTAGCAGAATATAGATCACTGTGCTTTGTACTGACATTTTTACCAGGTGATAATGAAAGCTTTTCATCCAGATGCATCACAATTAAAGTCACAAATCAGTCCACAAGTTGTGAATGCCCCATCCCTGGAAGTGTTCAGGGTCAGGTTGGATGGAGCTCTGAGCATCCTGGTCTGGTGGAAGTGTCCATGGCAGGGGGCTGGAACTGGAAGATCTTTGAGGTCCCTTCCGACCCAAACCATTCTGTGATTCAGTAACTTGAATATGCACTTTTATCACGCTGTATTAAGGAAAACACCATCTGTTGCATTTGGCTTGTGACTGTGGCAGTGTTTGATCTTCCTGTGCCACACGTGTGGCAGTGTTGTGGCTTCTCTCCTGTACACCAGGCATCCTCATGTGGTTTGTTTCACATTTGAAATTAAATCTGTAATGCTGCTTAATTAAAGCTCGTTACTGTCATGGCAGTTGGTACCAGATGAGGATTCAGGTCTCTGGGTACAGAGTGAACCCTGTCTGCCTTTCCTTCTTCCAGCACTTGCTGGTTGTGTTTGAATAAGGGTGAGAACAGTGCATGGTCCAAACAACCCACAAGGAAAGTCCTGTTACTATAAATGTGACATTTCTGAATCAGCCATTGCACAGAGATGTTTGCTTGTCTGCTGCATCTTGGGTTTTGACTTGGGAATGAAAACATCATGTCACTATTTCCCATGGGATGGGAGCTCAATTTTCCAATCATCTCAAGCTGTGGGTGCCAGATTCAGAAAGTAAATTATTAAAGATACAGAAATGGCAGCATTTATAAGACATGGTTTGTTAAAAGGTTTATGTAGTTGTAGAATAGCAGGGGTTACTAGATGCCTCTTTTAGTTCACCCTGCCTATGAAAGCAAGAAACAAACTCATATGGTTTTGATCCCTTGCAGTAGGAGGGTTGTTCTTTTTGTTCTGCTCCAAAAAGTGAGTTACTCTTCAAGAAATTAAAATCTGCATGCAAAGGTTAGGAATAATTTCTTTGCTGAGGAGTTGATGAAGTCTAGATCCTGAGAGGAACCAGAGATCCAGGATTTTAAAAAACTCTGTATAAACAGTAGCTTTTGTTTGTTTGTTTTTGTGGGTTTTTTTGGTGGGTTTTTCTTTTATTTTATCTTTATTTTGTTTTTTTTAAATTTTTTAAAAAAAATTTCAGCTGTGTTTTTGCCTTACTTTCTTCAGTATAAGAATGACTTGACATGGGGTCTTACTTAGAACTGCTTTCAAAGGAAGCAGGGGTTTTACTACATCTTCTCTTTGAGGGGATGAGCACAAAAATTTGTGACTACATGTCATTTTCTTTGCCTTCATTTTCTGCAGCGCTGATTCCTTCTGCTGAAGATGGCTCTGAACTGGTCAGTTCTGGCTGTGCTCCTTTTCTTGCCAGTCAATCCGGTTGAAGGTAAGTAAGAAAGATCCAAACCTGCATGTAGCACTGTTTGGTACTCTGCATTTCCAACTTTCCAGGACACTGAAGCTTCATAGTACACCAAAGCAAATTTTGCCTATTGTTTAGTGGGAATGGAAAGAGTAATGCCACCTCAGCTGGAAAAATAATTGAGTGCCTTGCAGAGTGGCACAGAATGATAAATCTGAGAGGAATCCAAAACTGGTCATCTAAAGACACATCTGTTCAGCTGGGACAATGGCAGGAGAGCTATGATTTCTGGAATAAAAGGGATCCACATACATCTCTTACTAAACTACTGCTCCGAGTGGTGCTGGTTTTAACCGTGCCACGAGTGTGTATTCCATCGCTATCCCAGGTTTTACTGGACTTGAAGCAAGGCATCTAATTCAGGAACACAATAAATTTTTTAAAAGTAGTTTCCTTTCCCTAAAGAATGAATTTTGCCTGCCCCATCAAGTTTTCAAAGCCTGTATTAAAGTGATAGAAATTTGTTGCCTAAAATAAAATTGGAGAACTTGCAGCTCGTCACTGTCTACAGCAAAAAGGCACCATCTCCACTGTACTTCCAAACTTCAGGAAGGTGGATCTGGAAGCTGAATACTAATATGTGCCCCAAGGCTGCCAGTGCAATCAGGAAGTATATTTTTGAAGCCACGACTTTCCTGGGCTTTTACAATGTCTCTGTAACATCTTTTTAATGTCTTTTTTTCAGCTTATGCAGCTCACAACAGGGTGAGTGTAGAGGCTGGCCATGAAGCTGTGCTGAGTTGCCCCTACACCTCCAATGCATCTTTGGTGCTGGTGACATGGAAGAGGAATTGCAGCAGTTGCTGCCTGCTGTCTTATAGAAGGGATCACAATGAGACAAGCAGGCTGAACTGCAGTGAGAGGATCACATGGAAATATCCACCTGCCAGTGACCCCGTGCTTCGTATTTACCCTGTGAACCTCGGGGATGAGGGAAATTACACCTGTGAAATTGCCAGCAGTGAAGGGAATCATAATTTTCTCTCTTCTCTGACTGTGACAGGTAAGATTGCATCACTAAAATAAAAAAATAAATTAGTCTATTTGCAACATAGGCAGGAGTATAAGAATATTAGGAAGCATAATGAATACATCAAATTACCTTTTTTATATTGTCAGGTAAACTATATCTAGGTTTCCATAAATTAAAAAAGAAAACAAGCCACAGGAAGACTTTGTGTTTTGGCTCTATTAGTTAAATTGTCTCTATATAACTAAAAATTATAAGAAATTAATTTTCAACTCTATGATTGCTATTACTAATTTTAGTCACTTGGTTTTGTTTTTTTTTTTAGTTGGATTATTTTATTAGTTTGTTTTGGTTTTGGATTTTGGTTTTTTTTTTTGTTGTTCCCTGCAGAATCTTGCCTTTCTGATAAAAATGTAGGTGTTGTGCTAACCTTTCCCTGTTTTGCCAAATGCAGAATATGAGTTGTTTGACTTCAAGCAGAAGAGTTTTGCCCAATTCCTCTTTTATTTCCCTGCTATCAGATTTTTGATTCTACATATTCAGACTCCTAAATAATGTACCTGAAGCTTCAACAATCTGCCTTTTCTTCAGTCATGTTATAAATCTTTATTTAATCCACCCCTCTCTGTCATCCCATATCCTGTTAATCTGTCATTACCTTTTGGGAAACAGGAGGAAGCAGTACTTTAGATGCAGCCAGATAGTTTTTGAGATGTTCACCTTGGACTTTTTGATGTATTGTTCTTCCTTAAAGATGTGCTAATATTTCAAATTAATTTAAAATCTCACAAATTGGTCATACAATCTGAAAAATACCACCTGTTGGTCAGCTTCTCAATTGGTGATTTTATACTGAAATCAATTAAATACTAAAAATGAAATAAAAATATAAAATATTAATAGAAATAATGGGTGTGACTTTTCAAAATTTCTTCTGCAGTCCCTCCTATGGTGACTCTGACCCATGACAAGAGCAGGGTGGCTGTTTGTCAGGCACCTGCAGGAAAGCCACCTGCTGACATCTCCTGGATGCCTGCAAGCAATCACAGCTCTGAGGAAGAATTCCACCACCCCAATGGAACAGTGACCAGAGTGAGCTACTTTGGCTGGGCCCACAGCTCATTTCCCTCTGTCACCTGCCTGGTCACCTACCCAACCAAGAACCAGACTCTGGTCATGGACCTGAGATGTAAATGTTATTTTTTGATGTTATTTTGCTTTTCACCATGCCTTGGGCTCCTCTCTGCTGTTCTGTGCAGCTGTTCCCAATAAATGCCAGGGCCCTGGAAATAGGTTAGCGTGGTTCTAAGGTGAAGTCCTAGCGCATGTTGAGAGATAAATCAATAATTTTGAAACCAAATGCTTTGTGGCACTGTATGGAGAAGCTTTCAGGGTGTTTTTCTTTCAATTCCTGTTCTGTTTTACAAGAAATCCTTACTCTGCTTTTAGTAGGTTCACCTTGGCTGGCTGCCAGGTGCCCTCCAAGCTGCTCTGTTGCTTCCCCAATCTCTTCAACAAGACATGGACAAAAATACAATGGATAGCTTGTGGGTCAAGGTGAAGACAGGGAAAGATCATTCACCAATTACTGTAACAGGCAAAAGAGGCTTGAGAGGAAAGTAATTTCTTGCCACTCAAATCAGAGTAGGATAGCAAGAAACAAGAACAAAAAATAATCAAAAAGCACCTTCCCCACAACATTTTGTCCAGCTTTTCCACAGTAGTGTTGGTCTGGAGAAATTTTCCTTGGACACTATCTGTCTGTGACTTGCAAGTGTTCCAAAGGTAGTAAAGGCTAAAATTCAGCTTCTCCTCTGGCTGTGCTGGACCTGTTGGAAATCTGTTGCAGTAGGATTTGTAAGAACAGCTAAATAAGTGCTTGTATCACCAGAATATCTCTACTAGTAGAGGCATGAAGAACAGAAATCAGCATAGACTGGTCATTAATAACAGCATTTTGCAGGAATGGCTGCTCAGTTGTTCAGGGCTAGTAGTATTTAAAGAAAATGAGAATGTAAAGGCAGATGAGTTGAAAATGAAAATGTGTTTGTGCACACAAATGACTGGGGGTGTGAGGCAGCTTCTTATTGCTGCATCCAGGCATCTCATCTGTTTCTCTCTGCTTTGTTTGGAAGCAGAGGATTAGCTTTTTCTTCCAGTTAAGGTAGGCAGTTACGTCACAAATTTCTGGATACTGACATCTAGCTCTGTAACTTGCTCTTTTCTCTTTGCTCAGACACTTGCCATAGGCTTCTCTACATCCTGGTTGGAACAGCTACAGGTGTCAGTGCTGCCACTGGTGTGGCTTTATGCTTGATTTTCAGGTGCAGAGGTGAGTCCTTTGTAACATATTTCAGGTTCATCAATCCCATTGCTGACTATGTGCAGGTACAAGGTACACTCAGCACTTTACTGCTGAGACTGAGGTGGGAGGCAAGGGAGGAAAATGTTCATATATGTACTGTCCTTTTGGAGAAGTTGTAATAAAATAAGAGGTGGCGATTAAAAATAAGTCTGGATTTTTGAAAGAGCTATAGGTACTGTGGTATTAATGCATTACAGACATGTCAGAGATTCATTCAGGATGAAAGGGGTTCTTTCTGAGAATAGGGCAGGCTTTGAGTTTTTAGAAATTTTTGTTTGTTCTGCATTTACTGGCCCAAAATTCTATTCTTAAGAATGACAGTTCATAAACTAATGACTAAGCGCAAATTCTGTTTCCATGAGCAGTGATAAGTTTTCCCTTGAGCAAGTGTAAGAATAGGCCAAATGTACATACTTTGGTATCTCTCAGATAATTGTGCACTGGGCATATTAGCTGCTTTGTTTCATTTCTCATACTGAATGCAAAACACTGCAAAACACAGCTACTAAGAAGAAAATAAGCTCTACCCTAGTAGAAACCAGGACACCCAGCATGACCAGAAGTTTCAATGAAGGGAAAAATAAAACAAGAGCGTGTTAAAGAGCAGGATGTAAAAATACATAAGAATTTAACATATGAGGGTAACCATATTTTGAAGAAAGTCTTTCAAGAGCTGGGGGCAGAGCTAGAGGAGAGCCCCAGCTATAACAGCTGTGTACCCTGCACCATCAAACCATCCTAACTTCCTGACATCCTACTTTCAGCTTGCTGGTTATGTAAACAGGCACCTGACCCGGCAGAACACTCTACAGTAAGTGGGCTTCGTGCTTGTGTGTGCTTTGCAGGTTTTGGTGTATTCTTCACTAAAACTTGTAATTTCTTGGCAATGTGTCTGCTCTGACAAATCTCCCATTTACCTCTGTGAGCACTTGGAGTGGGGAATGAGGAACACATCATCTGTGACAATGTCTGTTGTTTGGATGGCTATATCTTCATGTATAATCAGAGTATTTGAGCAGTCATTTAAGCACTGGATAGAGAGTGGTGTAGTGTATTTCCTGTCTGTTTACAATGCTGAATTTTAACTCTCCCAAAACTCAATACATTCATATTTCTGCTTCACAGAGTAGTCTTTACTCAGATGATTTATTTAAGAATGTATTTATTCTTAATAGCAGAAGCCTGCTTGATTATAGGTTGGATGGAACCAGATATGCCTTTTACAATGAAGGAAAAAGGTCCACTTTGTTTTGCTGTAGTGGAGACAAACACAGCTATGAAACTTTTATTTTTTACATGGCAGTTCATATACGTGGAAGCCAGGAAATAGCAGTGATAAATCTGCCACCACAACTTTTAGTCTCTAAATCCAGTGTGTTGTTGATATATATTTAACAAAATGAAAAAGTGCTGCTTTTCCTCAGGGCTTCTGCCTCACTTAATGCACATGGAGAGACCAATTATTTCCTATTTTGTTTTCTGCTCATGATTTAATTAATGGTCGTGTGCCTTGTTTGTTGCAAACAAGTCAGAGTGCTCTGAAGTTAGAATGATTCATTTCCTGACATGCTCTTTTGTGGCATTCAGGAAAATTTCATTGATGAGAGGGGGAGCTGCAGAGATCAAAGGTTTCCAATGATTTTAGGTGCCTAAATTGGATTGTTTGTGGTCTGTCTGTTTTGTTTTTGTTTTGGTGTTTCGCTTTCAGAGAAGCTAGCATTCTTCATTGTCATTTATTTTGCTGTAGATGCCAACATTTCAAACTTTGTTTTCGATTATATTAAGAAAAAAAATTTCAAAGGCTGTCCTGTTGAGGTTTTGTGAAGGCTGCTCTTGCATCTGTCTGCCAGTTTATGTTTCACCCTCTGTGCTCTACCCTCTTGCTCAGAGAGCTCAGAGAAATCACTTCACATTTCTTTTGCAACAGTAATGTTATCTACCAGGTTTCTTCTGCTTTTTGTTTGGGATCTATAGGACTGACGGTCCCACAAAATTCTAGAATGTAATACAATGGTACATCTTTTTCTTCCTTTTGCAGACTAAAACCTGCAAGTTCCCACCTTCACGTGCGAGAAGAGAAGCAGCCAAGCCTCCTGACTTTTCAGAGAAAATCTATCAGAACTACAACCCAAGATCTGTTTATGTATACTTATAACAGCGTAGGCACAAGTAGCCAGCTCAGCTACTAATGATACTCAGCTACTTGAACTTGTACTTCAACTCTTGAGCCTCTGACCTTACCCACGAAAACCTTTGTCTTTCCTGACCTGACGATGGTGGGGCAGAAAGACCCATTTTAGTAAGTTTTTTTCTCGTTCTCTAAATATCAGTACAGCTCTAGAAAAAGTTAGAACTTTTAAAGATTGAATTAGGGAAATACCTTAATTTTCTTTGAAAGTGAACTCTGATGTATGTGCTGCCTTTCCTCAAAACTATAATGGACATATTCTGTGCCAGAGTAAAAGACTGCTGGTGAAAATACAGCACTTTTCTTTCCTTTTTGGCAACTGGATTCTCTTTAAAGTTCTGTGTGACATGGGGCACCTCAAAACACAGAAGGTCAAAGCAATACATCCAACAGAAATGCAGAAATAAGAGATTTTTAGGGTTTTTTTTTTGGTTGTTTTGTTTTCTGGGTAGATGGTTGTAGCTGACACATGATGAGCTAGTATTTGACATCTTTGTCTATTTTTGAATTTTTAATGTATTTCTTTTGCAATTAATTTTTCTGTTTGCATTGATAATTGATGGAAAATAAAACCAATTTGATATTATACTGGATATGGAAATGAGAAACAGCAATGGATAATATTTGGACACTCTTTAAAGTAAATGCACAAAAATGCAAATATTTACCTCAAGTATTTCTGTGGTTATTTGGGTAAATGTTGACCAGTTTCTGAGAAGCTGAGATCACAGCATGGTTTTCCTGAGAACAGAAGTGTTAAGTAGTACAAAAGGCAGGTGGTGTGCTTATTTAAAACAAAGGAAAAAAAAAAAAGACAACCCTAACCACACCATTTATTTCTTCTCATCTTTATGTCCCCAAGCTAAAAATACCTCCACAGACTGGTTGTTAATTTCAGTTTTCATTGGTCAGGTGTGTCAGACCTTCCAAACACTAATGCAGTAACTACACTGAAATGTGTGTTTTGAAGAGCCTTTTCCTGCTTGTTTCTGCAGGGTCATCTCTGCTCCTTAAGTGTTAGGCATGAGCATCTCCCAGTGCCTTTTAATTGCACTTTATCACTTCTAAATAGACATGGATGTCTGCTGACATCCAGCCTTTCATTTTTAGTCAGAAAGGCATGAAGAATGACTCTCTGCCTCAAGAAAAATGGCCTACAGAAGCCAGGTTTGTTTCCAGGCTTGGTGGACAAGCAAAGCCTTTCCTGGAGTGCTGAATGTCAGTGATGGGTCACTCTCAGAGCTGCATGCAGCATCATCCTGTCTTCTGTGGGGAGGGAGAAGCACTTTTCACACGTGAAACCTCTGGTAGAAAAAAAAGTGACAGCTTGGAAGTAGTGCAAATAGGTTTGAAATGATGCTAAATAGGAAAAGTGTTTTGTAGCTCTAGTGAAATCCGCAACAGAGCCTTAGTCCAAGGTGCTGTCGAGGGGTCACTTGTGACTTGAAGCTTCTGAAATAGGGGGGAAGATCTCTTGTTGCTTAAGGAACTGCCCAGTCAGGTCTAAACCTTGGTTCCTGGGCTGGTGTTTGTCAGTGTGGTAAGTGAGCATGGATTGTTTTCATGGACAGCTACAGCAATCTGTGCCTTTTTCAGAAGCTGGAACATTGCAGCCAGACCGAAGGATCTGTTAAAATTAAGAGAGCTGTGGAGCAGTCTGCTTCTGGGAATCACAGTGCATGTGTGCTGTGATTATTAGGGTGTTATGTAAGACCTTTTCTTAATTCCTTTGCAGCAAGTGAAATGTTGAAGGGTGAGATCTAATGGAGACAGAAAAGATAGAACCTTGACAGGGAGATGATGATGTGTTGGGGGGAAAGCTCTCTGAAGCTGTGATAATTTGTCCTGGCTGAAAACTCTAGTTTTCACGCTCATAACTTCATTTTCACCTTTAATTTGTATTTGGTGGAATTGGTCCAGTCACCTGCAATGTCTCATCACTTCCATTAATGTAGAAATTCTGAGCAGCCTTGGTGCTGAAACTAAGTGCTCTGGCAATGATATGGGCTATCCTGGAATAAAATTAGTCCTTATGCTTTTTAGGCTTGTTGTGTATGATTAACAAAAGTTATCAGGCCAAAGAGAATAGTATGGCTATGGGGGTGGTTGCAAGAAAGGCTGGGACAACAATAAAATTTCTATATAGGTACTTTCAGTGTTGGCTGTGACTGGTGAAGGGCAGAGTTTTGTCATATGTGGAGCTCCTGGTGGCTTTGGTGGCTCCCTCTCTGCGTGCCATGACCAGAGCCATGTGTGCCCTGCTTCTTGGTCTGATGAGCTGATCTGTTGAGTATTTGATAATGAGAAATAAATCACTCAAATATTTTCTGTCATGCTCCTTTTGTATGGGATAGGCAGCTTGGTGTAACCCAAAGAACAACTCAAATTGTGTGTTTGGTGTCTTATAACAATTTGGTCTCAAAAATAAGCAACTTGAAAGGTTTTTATGAGTATATTTATCATGATTCCCCCACCCCCTCCTTTAATTATAAGTACACTTTTGGTGACTCTATACTCTTCTTATTTGCACTGAAAGAAAGTTTAATCAAGGCAGGTATTTTAGACTGCCAAAATGTGTAGGAAAATGCTGACTGTTTGTTGACTAATCATTGTGAAAGAGCTACTAAAAAGTGATGGGAATTGGAGTGAACTATTTGCACATTGTCACAAAAAAAAAATTTAAAAAAAAGCCTGGGAGCGTGACACTGCTGTTTCAGATTGACTGTTTAGTCAAATGCACAGTTGACTGAATGTCACTTGAGCTTTTTAGCACCAGATGTGATTATAGATGAAAATGCTCCTGTTTATTGTGTGGATTTTCACTCACATTGTTCATAGGACACTCTTTGTAATAATGATGATGTCTGCTTTCTGATTAATCTATGAACAATTTGTCTTCTGGAAATAGCAGGTGTTGTGATGCCTCTTTCTCTTCACTGAATATGGAAAAAAATGGTGACAAAACATTATGTTTAGAGCTTCATAAATTGGAATGTGACTTCACATTATGAACAATATTTGTTTAAAATCACAACACCAAGATTGAAATGAAAAAGGTAAACAATTTTCCTGCAGATTTTGGAAATGGAGCAGATGTCCAAAGGGGATTTTCCAGTTCACTGAAGAGCTTGGTTTTCCTAAGCTTGAAGTTGCAGCTATAAGTTTTGTCTATTCTTCCTGGCATCAATTTGTCACAGGCTTTCTTCTCTGATGAGAAGAAGCATTCCTGGTTCTCCTCTAGTAACTGTAACACCTGTGTTGTCTTTGTGACCTGGTCTTTCTGACTTTGTGAAGTCTTTGCTGTTAATGATAACTTGTCAGCTCCTTGATTTTGTGTCCACAATCTGTATACACCTGTCATGGGCTGGAGGCAGTGAGGAGCTCAGGAATTAACCAAGTGGGTCTTATTCTACATTTCCTATCGCTTCTCTGTCCTGCCTTAGTTTGTACTTGTGCTCTTAATGGTGCTTATTTATGCAAGTACCCACTTTTATTTTTCCTCCTCATTTTTTTTTTTTAATTTTTTTTATTTTTATGTTCTCTATGCATTTTATTATCTAGTTTTATTTCTTTCTCTTTTTGGCATCAAATACAATTTTATTATTCATTCTTTTGTTGCCTTTTGTATGTGTGTAACAAGAGGTTTTAAATAGTAACTTGTTTTGGAATTTTTTAGTGCTTTTCACTGAACTTCTTCAAAGACATATACTTACTCCAGGTCTCCTTCTTTTTTTTCCTCCCCTACCAATGCATAACAGGAAATTAATCATTCTTGATCAGAAACATCTTCTGTTCTTAGACTTCTGTGAATCTAAGCTCACTTACCAAATCCAAATGCATAATATGCAGCATTTTATTTATTCTTGTCTGACATCTGTCTTACAGAATCATAGAATTGTTAAGGTCGGAAATAACTTCTGAGATCACTGAGTTCAACCATTAACCCCGAACCATTGTGGTCACAACTAAACTGTGTTCCTCTGTGACACATTTACATGTTTTGAACACATCCAGGGATGGTGATTTCACAGGCAGCCTGTTACAATACCTGACCAGCTTCCCAGTGAAGAAACTTTTCTGAATATTGAAAACACTCTGCAGCACCCGTGAGGAAGAGGAGTGAGAAAAATGTGAGAGGAACAGCCCTGCAGACACCAAGGTCAGCGGAGAAGAAGGGCAGGAGGTGCTCCAGGTGCCAAAGCTGAGATTCCTCTGCAGCCCATGGTGAGACCATGGTGAGGCAGCTGTTCCCCTGCAGCTCATGGGAATCCATGGAGGGGCAGACTTACACCTGCAGCTCATGAGGATCCCAGCCTGGAGAACACTTCTGGCAGGAGCTGTGACCCTGGAGAGGGACCTGTGCAGGAGCAGGTTTTCTGGCAGAAACCACCCTGGAGCAGTCTGTTCCTGAAGGGCTGCATCCCATGGAAAGGACCCATGCTGGAGCAGAGGAGCAGTTTGTGAAGGACTCTATCCCACGGAAAGGAACTTGCTGGTACAGAGGAATTGTGTGAAGAAGGAGTGGCGGAGGTGAAGAGGTATGAACTGCCCCCCAAACCCCATTCCCCACCCCAGTGCACTGCTGGGGCTGGGGAATATGATGTAAATCTGTGAAGAAGAGGGAGTGAGAGCAAAGGTGGTTTCAATTTTGGTTTTTTATTTCTCATTATCCTACTCTGTTGTCAATTGCTAATAAATGAAATTAACTCCCCCAAGTCAAGTCTGCTTTGCCCATGACCCCAGCCAGTGATCTCCCTGTTCTTATCTTGACCCATGAACTTTTCCATCGTATTTTCTCCCCGTGTTGTGCTGAGGATGGGGAGTGAGAGAGTGTCTGGCTGGGCACTGTCAGGTGGCAGCCAGCCAAGGTCAATGCACCAGGCAAGGCTTAGTCACCAGCAGAGCTATTATAGGAAAGAGGATGCTGTAAACATCGGATTCTACATTATTAAGGCATTTTTATGCCGATGGTCCCTCTCTAGGTCTCCTGACTTTAATCTCATCACTGTGTACAGAGCTCTGAAAATTTCATTTCCACTCATTCTATTCTCTCAGCTGTCAATAAGTACTGCTGAGCAAACAAGGCTAAGTGCTTTTGGGATTGATTTTTGTCTCACTTCTGCCACAGTCCAACAGCATTTATATTGTCATATCATAATGTTCGTATCTAGCTGTGCTTATATTTTAAATTTCCATGTGTATATCTGAAAAAGAAACCATGGGCAACCCCCCTGAAATCGTTTCTGTGTTAGATTTATGAAAAGTAGAACCCCCTCCTCTGTGCAAAACATACGGCCACATGCTGCAGAACAACGTGCTTAGTACATGAATGTCTTGTAACTCACTCCATCTCATGTGAGAGGAGTGTTGCATGGAATAAACAAGTGAGCCAACTACTGAAAAGCTCTGGTCTGTCTGCTAGTCTTTTTGTGCAATTCACTTGAAATATTTAAATCAGGAAGATTGGAATCCAGCATCACCAGTCAGTGTATTGTTAGGGCTGCCTCCTTAATCAGGC